TATATATATATATATATATATATATATATATCTCACACAACAATATCACCATCATCACCATTTACCGTGTGCCTTCACAGCGTGGCCAATGGCGGCTCTCCAGAATTTCCTGTCTTTGTGGTTCTAAACAACGTTTGACATATAACTGTCCCTCTTTGCCACTTATCTGTGATCCATCCACACAAAATACTTAAAATGGATCCCATTTTTCCTCTAATCAACTTCGCTATTTACGTCCTGTGATTGTTATATTTTCCAACCGGCTTTTCCTCGTAATGAGTTCAAGAAATCTTGACTGTCTCTGCTGAGAATTACGAGTATCTTTCTCGTTCCAAATTTCTTAGGAATTCTTTGTCCATGATCTTCGCGGCATCAGTGTTTAGAGTTACATTTCTCTTACTTCGTCTCATCTTCCTTTGTGATGAAAATTGTCCAAAATTCATTGCTACATAAGAGGGTCGGTAGGACAACTGTTCAGCACTGTTTTCTTTGTAAAAAATATTCTTGTCTTAATAGTTTTCTGAAATTCGGGAAGCCATCTTTCGCTATCACATCGTCTGTCACTACAATACTCTGAAATGTAAATTTCTGTACCTGCCCGATTTTGATGTCTTCAATACGCAGCTCACATCTTTGGTTGCCTGAGAGTATTTCTTTCTCCAAACCGTCTTTCCTCGTTATGTGCTCCAGAAGTTACAACACTCTCTCTTGTATATTAACAACATAATCACAGCGAGGAACCTAAGAATTCGAAATGAGAATTAAGCGAACCATCCTAGGCATCTACATATATCTCATGCCTTGATATTGATCCCCATCCTTTTCTTTATCCTTTTCCCAAACACTCCTCTTTACTCTTACTCTCACTCTCTGTAAACCCCTTGCGTGTTAATGGCACAACCGCTTTGCTTGGGTTGATTTGCTTAAAAAAGACTCCCTCAGACAAAAAGGAGCTCTATGGAAGACCCTATAACCACTGTCAAATTGTGGAAATTAAAATGATATGAACACGTTATAAAAGACAACAATCTTTACACTGCCACCTTACAAGGTACCTCCTTAGGCAAAAGAGCTAGGCAGAATGAAGAAAAATAGATTGACAATGCCACTGCGTTGATTGGACATTCATTTAAACCAAGATCTATGGATAGATACAGGTCAGGTGCTTCGCAGAACAGCGACACTACCAATATACACAGTGATGGGACTGAACATGATTAACATGATGATGTCTTTATACTTCTCATATTCTCTATAACTTCTTCGACTTGAACTCTCCAAATATTCTCTTAGCACCCGTGTTTAGAACGTGGTTTCGTGTTTCTCCATCTGTCAATATCAACCTGTAGAATAATTTTTACAAAAAATTTCACCCAAGAGGCAATCAAGGTAGATTTTTACTTGAGGTTGTTGTATGGATGTAATAGGAGGAATTAAGTGTGGATTATGAGGATATGTATGATAAACAATGATTGACCTTAAACTTGAAGACTTTGAGATGGTAATATTCGCAGAAGAAACTTATCGTCAGTTTGTTCCTCAAAATGGCAATTCTTAGGATGTATGTGTGAGAGGAGAACTTCTTTCTTCCAAACGTAATACGAAGTGAATTAGAAGGATTCAATGCTGTATACGTGACATGCTGCTTCTTAGTTGTGAAGGTCTGAACTGGTGGAATGAAAAAAATACGTCGTCTGAACATTCTTCATGGAAATAGCGATAGCGTAGTGAGATTATTGTGACGGTGAGTCTGTGGGAGAGGGGTTGTAAAGTGAAAAATTATTCATCACCCACAAATCCGCATAAAGACTTTTTAACTCAATGTCAATGGTGTAAAGTGTGAATTGGTTAGTGCCAGATCAAATATGGTAGATATGCTTCCTTTTAGATCCAATCTGAATCTTGTAAAGGCAGATCATGTCAGGAAGTGTCATGTACCTTCTGGGGCGGTAAGAAAAACCGACCAGTTTTTCCAGCATCTCTATCGATGTGTTTTATATATGAGTTTGAGTTGAGATCTGATCTTCTTTTTATCGAGTCGCTACAACACACCCATCTAGTATTGCATACAGAGCCTTGCCTGTGGTTTTAAGTTTCTAAGGTCATTAAGTGTGCATAGATCTTCAAGATTAGGGCAAACTATAAAATGTTCCATAGTTTGTGATTGCCCGTATTGGCAGCTGGGATCATCATCAGTGTCATATCCCCATTTCTGAAGGTTGACTCTACAGCGACCAACAGCTGTTCGGAAGCGATTTACGCAAGACCAGAAAGGCCAGACATGACTGGAGCCAGGGGAAGGGATTCTGTAAGACTGAGAAAGAGTTCCACGTTGTTAACGTTGCTCAACCACAGAGACAGATGCTGACTGGGAGCTATGTTGTTCAGTGGTTCGGCTAAGTGTAAAAAGCTAACTTGTCAGTGGTTCACAATCCTGGAGTGGATGACGAGGGTCAATTTCCTGCTTTAAGTTCTCGTGTTGGGAGTGAGCTGTCTTTCTTATATAATCATATGCAATACCTCTAAGCAAGTAGAGTTCATCTACTTTGGTTAACTTGAGAAACCCAGTGATTGATCTGCAAGAGGTGTTTAAGGTAGGGTTGATTTTCTTGTGTGTGATCATCTGTTCCACACTGGTGAGGCAAATTCTGTTGTGGTATAACAAAGGGTTAGGGCTGTGTTACAGATTGTACCGGCATGGACACCAGAGCGGCCTTGACTGTAGTCTTTGAAATATCGTCGATTTTCCTCAGATTAGATCATTTGCAGTAGTGTGCAGTAATATGAATCTATTTTCGGGGTGTATGTTGAAATTTGTTTCGCCTTGAAAAATCTTGCGTCATCCGTGATTGCATCAGATTTTTATCACGCTCAGACACTATTGTCTCGACTGTCGATTAGGTGTTCTAAGGCCATTGTCTGCGTTAGACGTTACTCCAATTAAGCGTTCACAAGCTGTAACACTGCGCGAACACACTGGCAAGCCTTACCAGCGAGCAAATCAAAGTAGTATAGATTGGCCCGGAAACTCTCTTGATTTAAATCCAATCGAGAATCTATGATTAATCTGGAAGGGAAGACTCCATGGAATGGACACACGAAATACTAACATGTGCACTGGGTCATGTTTCATTGGAAAAGATACAAAATAATAATAAAGGAATTATTTGTTTTTTTCAGCTTCAATTAATTTGCACAAAGGGTGTACATGGATCTTCCCGAATGGAAGGTTTTAATAATTGCGTAGACTCTTCCAATGATGCCATAGCTGGAGAGTTTGTGATGCAACCCGCTATGCCCCACCGTATCAAACAACTTTGAGTTCTCGCCATGAATTTATTATCGAGTGCTTTACTAATTTTAGGTGTAATGACAATTAAGTAATTAGAAGTTGTAGTAGATGAGCGAAATCCATACAGTTTGTCGGTCGGTCGATCAAAAAAGGTTCTTGTTGATAATAAGCTCAAGAAATTTGCTGATGATATTAAGGAGGCTGACAGTGCGATATTGTGGACCGCTTACCAGCATTCTTGTACAAAGCTGAGACGTTCCAATTTTGTTCCACATACAAATTCTACTGTTTAGTCTATAGTTAGTCGGAAATTGATGGATTCATACCTCTCCCAAGGGTATTTACGCGTGAGTGATTTTAAAGAACTCGACTGAAATTG